CACACTATGAAAATGATAGAACATTTTCTATCTCAAAACACAAAGTGCATCTTTGCAAAATAGATAATCTGTACTGGATCACCACCAAATGTTCCATGAATCCTTCATTGTTCATAGACTGAAACTGTGAAAATTATCTTCCCTTTTCTCTATTATATTCAGAGAATTTTGGGAGTTGAAGTCCAACAATAACATTCTGGTGGAGCTTGACAACTTTGCTAAATTATTTTTCATGGTAAATAGAACCCTCCACCCTAACAGATAATAATAGGAGACCTTTGGATTTAATGTCTCCTTCACCCTTGCGTCATAACCAGCAGCACTCATCAGATCAAGAAGGCAGTTAATTTTGATGCAGGTAGCACACCTCTAATGTCTACAAACAGCAGAACTGAGAAGCACCCCACCTTCTTCCAGAAAATTAAAGTATGGATCCTCACTTGCTCTCCCCCTCTCCCCACATGAGTGCTAATTTGTTCTTTTAATACAAACATCTCTTAGCCAACACTTGTCTCCAGGTTTTTTCCTTGAAGATTGCTGGAACACAAAATGAGGACTTGCACTTTTTATGCAAGCTATAAATCCTCAGATAGAAATAACCTGTTTATGTGGAAAGCATAAAAACAAATAAAAACCACATATATTTTACTACGGCATCTGCATAACTTTATTGTCCAATTAAAGAACATGTCACATGACATTTCCTCTGCTTTCCCTAGATAATGGATGCAGACATGGTTTTGCAAACATCAGTGTTAAGAAATCCAATACAGAGATCTACATCAATTTAAAATTATGTACTTCTATGCTCTGGTGGAAAATGAGAGGTACAGCTAATTACATTACTTACTCATTTACTTAGTAAAATAGTTTGTGTGCTTGCACTATGGATCCATCAGTAATCGCAGCACATACTTTTTATTGAGCGGTGTGATTAGCTCTTGATGACACAAGTGGGAGTCCTTGAAATCAACTACTTATAAATTATCAACAGAATTACACTATTTGTTCATTTACATGTATATTGGATCATATTGCTATATATAATTGAGATATCAATGCTTAAAGGGACACTATCATCACTAGAACAACTACAGCTTATTGAATTTCTTCTGGTGAGTAGAATCATTCCCTTCAGGCTTTTTGCTGTAAACACTGTAGTTTCAGAGAAAATGCAGTGTTTACATTGCAGCCTAGTGATAACTTCACTGGCCACTCCTCAGATAGCTGTTAGAGATCCTTCCTGGGTCATGGCTGCCTAAAATGCATCCAAACATTCAGAATCTCCTCCCTCTGCATGCAGACACTGAACTTTCCTCAAAGAGATTGACTGATTTAATTAATCTCTAAGAGGAGATGCTGATTGGCCAGGGCTGTGTTAGAATCATGCTTGCTCTGCCCCTGATCTGCCTCCTTATCAGTCTCAGCCAATCCTATGGGGAAGCACTGTGATTGGATCAGGCCACCACTTCTGATGAGGTCAGCAGACTGCTTGTTTTTCTGAGTCTAGCACCATGCAGAGTTACAGCTTCAGGCATGAATATAATAAGATTTGTACTATATTTATAGAGGCATGAGGGGCCCAGGGGGGCCTAGATGGTGGTTTTAACACTATAGGGTCAGGAATACATGTTTGTGTTCCTGGCCCTATAGTAATCCTTATTATATTGTACCATGCCTTCCTATATTTCCCTTCCTACTGTCAGCTATATCTCCAAGAACTGCGTTATACTGCATATAATTTTCTTTCTCTCCTCTCCCTCGACCACAGTTCCTTTCCTCTTCGTTCTTCCTCCTTTCCCTCCCTTTGCTCTTTCTCCAACTGGGAATCTCCAGGTACCTATCACAAACCACAACTTGGGTTCACCAAACATGTTGTGTTACCCCCTTATCAAGCCCCCGTCTAGGGTCAGAGAACTGGCTATCTAGAGTTAGGAGCTGGCCTTAGTGGTACAACGTACCTGGTCCCGCGGGGCCAACCCCCCAATCTCAACACGGAGTTTTCGCCCCTCGGCCCAAATCATAGTTAGAGCCTCGCATTCACCCACCTATCGGGTTTATAGTTAGGGCCTCACCAGACACGGCCACACGTTTTGGATCTTTTACTGTCACCGAGAGGCCGTCACCCCGCCACTACGCTAGTGGCTCGAGCCCCACGCCCAAATCATAGGTAGAGCCTCTCACCAGCTGCTTGGCAACTAGCAGGGCCTCACTTGTCACGGGGTAGAGAGCTTTTCGCTTCGGCACTAGTTAGCCAGCCAGTTCTATATTGCTTAACCGTATTGTTTTTAATCAGTTCATTGTTGTTGTGATATTCTTTTTCAATATGTCCTAAAAAGACAACATCGGACAAGGACCATCCTGCCCTAGCGCAACACCGAGCTGGACACTGACAATTCTGTGTTGGCGTCCAGCTCACAAAGAGGAATCTCAGACATTACAGGAGACCTAAACTCCATACTGGCTACGCTTCAGACCTTCAATAATAGTTTGTCTAACTTAGAGAACACCAGCCCGGCTCAGTTAGGCCCTCCTCCCGTAGGGTCCATACACACACACTTACTCCCACCAACAAGCAGGGTTGGCCCCCTGCATCACCTTTCACTCCACCACCCCCCACTTTCTGAGTACTCACCCACGAATTTGTGTTAATTTCAACACCGGCATATGTAGTTCTACCAACTGCAAATTGCTTCACGTATGCTCCATATGCCTCGGTGCTCATGTCAAAATACCATCTGCCCGTATATTATATCAAAGTTTAAGAGTACAGTGGGAATAAGCTTAGACGTTATGCATGAGTCACATCCGTCCCTGCACTTGGTGATTTAATCATTACACATGGGTTCCACATTGGGTGGGGGTAACTCCCAGTAGATGTAGATGTTCCATTCTCCTCGGCTAGACACGCATCATATACGGTAAACTACCAGCAATACTCTAATAAACAACATCTCATTGATCTGCCTGCTCCTCATTCAGTCGCAACCTAGGCTTAACTCCCTCAGAGCCTAATTCTCTCAGTCTTCATGTCATAGAGTCATACCAATTATGGTACCATACAGTCAAGTCTCTCTAGGATAAGAGCGTGTGCAGTCATGAAGACGAACAAGTCCCGTTGTAACGGATCGCCTGGCACCCCGACTGGGTACCTCCGTTGAAGGATGCTCCTAGCGCTTCCTGAGGATTCCAAGCACTCTGGCAGACACCACAACCACCGAACCGGAGAAGCATATGAATCCTCTCAAGCATATGAATGCTGTAGACCGTTGAATAGGAACCATACGAATAGGTTTACTCTCCTAGCAGTCAAACTGGAACAGCATACAGTAAATCCTTCCCCCAATAATGAGACAACACTTCACTTTGAGGGTTAAAACAGGAACTCCCTGTACTGTCCCATACAGTCTCTTTTATTCCCAATCCACAAACATAGTACAGCCCACAGGGCGTTACAAAACAACCAATCACATCACAGTTACATCCCACATATTCCCTCCCCTTATCCTGAGAGGAAACTCAATTATACATACGGTTAAAACATACTTTCTACCCAACTTTCATAACTCCAAAACCATACATCACATTCACATAAAATTACATATTCACAATCAATCCATTCAGGGGAACAACATATTCAAAATGGCACAAATCAGACAAGGGGTTCAAAAGTTAGTAAAAAGTCCTTTGTGACTAAATGAAGCATGGCTTTTTGGCCCAAACCAGTTTCAGAGTCTTCTATCCTGGAGATAAGTAATTCAATTATCTCCCAGGACAGACACAAGACTCCATTAAGCACATGGTTGCAAAAAGACACAAAACACTTTAAAATACATAAAGTCACCTTTTACACATAACAGACAGACATTTCACATATCCCCAGATAGCTGGGATCTGAGCGCACAAAACTACCGAATAGCGCTCAGATCCTATTCACACAGTTCAATTGCCATGGAGCCAAAGTCTTTAACTACACGAATGGGCTCCATGGCATAGCTATCTGGGTTAACACATTCACATAAAGTCTGGTCCATAGTCCAAAGGCAAGAGGCGGGCAAGCAGCCCCCTCCAAGGACACGTGGCGAGGCCGGTTTCGCCACATTTCTCCCCTTTACCATCCAGACTAACAGGGTATCTGACCTCCTGCCGGTCAGTGCCCTGGTTAGTCCAGCAACCCACCCACGAAGCACAAACAGCAATACAGCCCACCCACAATAACTGGTTACTACACCTGGATAAAATAGCAAGTTGTCCGTGTCCAGGTGCCTCACCACGGCTGTACGGGGGGCTGATAGAATGCCTTGGTGGGTTGCTGAGTGGGCAGAGACCAGCGGTACTCTGCCCGGGTGCCAGCGCTACCACTGAAGTAGCCTGGTTGGAGCCTGGTTGTGGGAGGGGGAGACCGACTGTCTCCCCTCTGGATACACTGCTCTGTGGCTGGGGGACAGGACCGACCGTCCCTACCCCTGGTGCTGCAAGTGCAGAGACTATGGTCCCATCTGCATAGTTGTGGGGCTTAACATCTCCCCTTGGTGGGTTAGGCTGCCGCTGGAGAGAGGGTGTAACAAGCTCCTCTCTCTGAACTGTAGACAGCCGCTGGGGAGAGGGGGTAACCTGCTCCTCTCCCTGACCCTCTCTTTGCTGGTGGAGAGGGGGACCAACTGTCTCCCCTTTCAATATTTTGTCCTGCGGCTGGGGTGAAAGACAGACTGTCTCCGCTTCCTGCAGGACACACTGCCGCTGGGGAGGAAGGACTGCACCTTCCGTTCCCTGGGAAAAAGACTGCCGCTGGGGAGGAAGGACAGCACCTTTGGCTCCCTGGAACTCACACTGTTGCTGGGGAGCAAGGATAGCACCTTCGGCTCCCTGGAACTCACACTGCCGCTGGGGAGGAAGGACAGCACCTTCAGCTCCCTGTGATACATACTGCCGCTGGAGATCTGGGCCGACCGCCCAGCATCCCTGTAGGGCCGGTAGAGAGACCGCCATCCCATCTCCACCTGCCATTTGTGGGTCTTCCCAGGACCAGTCTATGAGGTCCCCTACTTCTGCAGCTGGTAGTGAAGCAGGGGGTTCCTCGGCTGCGTTTTCCCAGCTGTAGGTTGGCAGGTCTGGGTCCCCCAGCCAGTTTTCCTGTTCTGTGTCCATGCCCTGTGGCTGACATGAGTTTAGTAGTTCCACATAGTCCATCTCTAGCTGTCGTTCCATGGCAGCCAAATGGTGGAGGTCTTGTCCCAGTCCCATAGATCTTGGGCCCTGTACCATCTCACCTCGGTAATAAAAGATAGCCCAGTACCGTGACTCTGCTGGACTGCCAAAGTCGACGTCTTCTGCTAAGGCCTTCCACAACAGGCCAGGGCTAGTGTAGTTCTCCCCCTGCGGCTGGATGCCCTCTGCCCTCCACGTCTCTGGCTGGACAGTGCACCACCACAGTGCCCGGTATGAGGCGTCAAGGCTCAGTTCCCTTTCCACGAGGTACTCAAGTTGTCTGACCTGCTGCCCTCCGGGTTGGTCTCCCAGAAGCGGCATCCGCCAGGCCATTTGTTCCTCCAACCGGTATGCGACACCAGGAAGGCGCTGCTGCCGTTGATACTGGACTTCCTCCAGGGCATCGTACCATAGTTTTTGCCGGGCAATATCTCTCCATTCCAATTCACTCTCTTCCTCAGGTGTGCGTGTTGCCCAAGGATCCACGAACCCCATTTTCCCAAATCTTTATGTAGACAGGGACGCTGTATAAACACTAGCGTCACCTTCAATTTGTAAATCCAAACGAACTGTGTCTCTGAGCTGCTTTACCTCGCACTAGGACGCCATCCCACCGCTGCCACCAATGTAACGGATCACCTGGCACCCCGACTGGGTACCTCCGTTGAAAGATGCTCCTAGCGCTTCCTGAGGACTCCAAGCACTGCAGCAGACACCACAATCACCGAACCGGAGAAGCATATGAATCCTCTCAAGCATATGAATGCTGTAGACCGTTGAATAGGAACCATATGAATAGGTTTACTCTCCTAGCAGTCAAACTGGAACAGCATACAGTAAATCCTTCCCCCAATAATGAGACGACACTTCACTTTGAGGGTTAAAACAGGAACTCAGGTGCTGGCACACCCAGCCTGGTTTTTATTACAGTCTTGCAAATACAGGATCGCCCACAGGGAGGTATAAAACAACCAATCACATCACAGTTACATCCCACATATTCCCTCCCCTTATCCTGAGAGGAAACTCAATTATACATACAGTTAAAACATACTTTCTACCCAACTTTCATAACTCCAAAACCATACATCACATTCACATAAAATTACATATTCACAATCAATCCATTCAGGGGAACAACATATTCAAAATGGCACAAATCAGACAAGGGGTTCAAAAGTTAGTAAAAAGTCCTTTGTGACTAAATGAAGCATGGCTTTTTGGCCCAAACCAGTTTCAGAGTCTTCTATCCTGGAGATAAGTAATTCAATTATCTCCCAGGACAGACACAAGACTCCATTAAGCACATGGTTGCAAAAAAACACAAAACACTTTAAAATACATAAAGTCACCTTTTACACATAACACACAGACATTTCACATATCCCCAGATAGCTGGGATCTGAGCGCACAAAACTACCGAATAGCGCTCAGATCCTATTCACACAGTTCAATTGCCATGGAGCCAAAGTGTTTAACTACACGAACATTTACTTCTCTGAAGGTTTTCGTTCCTAAATCTCACATATGAGGAACAGGACAGTGCCACATGATAGATGGTTGGTATCCATGGGAGGGCTGGCAAAAAGAAGCAGAGGGGCTATTGCGCCTCCTGCTTCCGTAGCATACAAGGGTTGTGGGCTACATCCTCACGCAATTCTTCTGTGGATTGTAACAGTTGGAGGTGGAATGTCTGTTAACACACAAAAAAGCTGGAATGAGCCAGCAGGAAGATATTGTATGGGCCCTTTGTCTCTGCACAGTATAGGTTTGCGTATGGGCTGGTGGCCCATAAAGTTTATGTTCTACAGGCCTTAACTGTCCCACTAGGCTCATTTCCCAGTGGACAGTAGTTTGACTATATTGAATATGTATGATGTCCACAGAGATGTTTATAAGTGACTGCACAATCAGATGGGACTGTGCTCATGAGGTTTATAACATGTAAATGATCATTGGTGGCAATGGAGTCTCAGGTGTTGTTGCAGAGATATTAATGAAAGGTCTGCTGTTTTGAGCAGATCATTTTATGCACAAACTACGCTATTTATTTGTTCTTTCTCCCCCAAGCAATAGTTAGCCTTCCCATGTAGGTATGTACCGGGGTGAAGAGTGCAGTGGCGTTAAGTTTAAAATGCACTTACCTCTGTAAAATCCTCAGAGTGGTGTCATTTGTCCCATGATCTACTTAGAATAAACAGTGCATATGCTTGCCTACAGGAATGCCACTCTAGGCATTAAATTAATTTATGCTTCATTCTCTGGCTGTTCCAGTACAGCCCGGCATACAATATAAATAAGAAAAAATTAAAGACTTACTATTTTTTCAATATCACAATCCAGAGCTAACTTTTAGTTAGCTGTGGGGTAAGGGGTGTAAAAAATTAAAATAACGGCAAGTACCACCCATGCGCCTACGGTCGCCAGTGCTTCTTTATGAGAAGCATTGAATTGCACGGTCAGGAGGCACACCTCCACAATGACACCAGCCAAGAAGCAACCCACTGTAGCTCAGCAGTGCAAAACAGGTGAGTCATTTGTTTTATTTAGTTTTTCTTCTTTTTATTTTTTTTTTCTATACTGGGGGGTCCTGAGCTAACTAGGGGCATCAAGACTGCAGCCTTAGGAATACAGATATTTACTCGTAACACCACGGTATTTCGTTACATGTACATGTGACATAATAGTGACATATTTTTTTAAATTAAAAAATAAGTGACAGCTTTGTTTAAGCTACATATCAGTTTTTTTTTAATTATATTCATTCTAAATCACCTTTGCTAACCACAGATCTCCATTCAGAAACATGACTCTAATCCCTGTACTTTATCACGTCATCGTCGTTTGCTTAGTATTCTAAGTACACATTGATAATTGTCTCCGGTTTACCTTAAGTACAGTATCCCTGGATCAGACTTCTGCGTCTCAGATTTTATCCCTCCTGCTCCAGGACAACTTGATATATTTATCGTTGTAATTATACAGTTAAGCTATCATTACACTGAGTTCTAACAGGCAGGCTTTAATCCTTTTTTTAATGTAATATCCATTGTCTGTCAATATGTATAGCATCATTTAACAATATTGTAGAACATGTTGGATTTATAGAAATAACATTATTTTGAAATTCATTGCACTAGTTTCCAGTGTCTCATTTTCATTGCACTAGTTTCAGATCTAGGAGGGAAAAGCATGATTGTGTAATGATGGTCAATATTCGGTTTCACTATTTCATTTTACCTTACCTTTTATTTTACTATACTTTTTCTAAAGATTATCTTTGTGGATCAGCAGTCTCAAAGATCACTGGCCTCGGTTGACCAGGACAGTCACGGAACAGAGAGTCATGCCCAAGTCCCAGGCTTACTTCTCTGTGATTTGGATTACTGATGATCTGGTCTGTATCTGGACCACAGTAAGGTCCTTATATGCTGTGGTTAAGGAGACTGGCCTCCTGGGGAGTAGTGTTAGCGCCATGTGCTCCAGCCAACCTCATCACCAATGGGCCTGCATTCTGTAATTGTGTGCTGGAAGCTCGGTGATGAGGCTAGTCAGTGCACACAAAGTTGAGAAGCAATCTACCTAAGATTTCAGCCATACTACAGTTGCTGGGAGAGTGCAGAGAGAGTGTATCAAGTGTGAATATCTGTGTTTATCAAAGTTTGCATATGTATGTATGGGTGGGTAGTGTGTAGATATTTGTATGGGTGTGTGCGGCAGTGTGCATAGGAGTGTGTGTGTGTGTGTGTGTGTGTGTGTGTGTGTAAGGGAGTACAAAAACAGGTGGTAACCTATGGCTCTACAAACTATTACCATTAATACTTCCTAGAGTACTACTTTACTCCCCCCACGCACTAAAACTATATATATTGTAATATCATAGGACTTGTGTTCAGTCATCTACTTATACAGTCTGCTGAATACACATTTTCTTAGGATGTTTGATGGGTATCAATAGACTTGATGGTAAGCCAAGAGAAACCTAGTTTATGTCAAACAACTTAAAAAAAGATTTGACTAAATGATGATTTATGTCGACATATTTGTACCATTTTAGCCACTTGCAATGAAAGCGTTATGCAAAGCAGGTTCTGTGTGATACAAATTCAGTGTTCATTTTACTACATCTTACGACAAACAACAATTAAAAACAAGTTTTTTACTTAACAAGGAGTGTTACAAGTGCAGGTCTTTTCTGCCAAAAATGTAATCTTCAAAGAGACATTAAATAGATGGTGGTGAGTATTTATAGTATTGGGGCTGGAAACTGTCCTTTTGTTTAGGATTGCCCTTTCATTTCTTCATAGGGCCCAGGCCTAAACAGGCCATCAGCAAACTGGACTATTGCACCATGGGCCAGGATGGCTATGGGCTGAGACCAACCATGGAAATTTAAAGGGTTTTCCAAGAAGGCCTATGCAGGGCAGACACTCGTGAGCACTGCCCAAACAAAGTCAGTGGGAATCCAAGTGCTGTTGTTACCATGGCAATGCTCTCAGTAAAACCGGAGCTCCTTGTGAGGTACAGCCAGAAAGTGCCCACTGGACCACAAAGGTGCTCCCATTTTCTTGGCCAAAGGTAACAAAAGATATATATTATTGTATTATTATTATCATCAAACTGTTCTTAAACGGTTTGACTGCTTACTCTGGGAGGGCGCCAATGCACTCCTGGAACCATAACCACTACAGAGAGCTGTAGTGGTTATTGTGCCTGGATTGTCATTGTTAATAACCTCCAAGTTACCCTCCCGAGATTCGGTTCTGAATTCATCCCTGCATCCGTAAGGAAGTGTGTGCCTCGAGGCTGTGAGGAGGGGACCAGGCGGGGAGAGAGACAGGAGCCGGAGAAGGCAGGAGAGGAGGGGGTGCAGGCTGCAAGAGCCAGTCCCTAACTGCTAACCTCCTCAGACTGCAGACTGGACATCAGGGAAGACGCTCTTCAGCAACCAAAAGGTAGGAAACTGAAGGGTGGCTGTAAATGAGTATATTTTGACCTGCATGTGTATGTGTGTGTGTCTGTCTGTCAGTGTGTATGTCTGTCTGTTTGTCAGTATGTATAAAATGTATGTCTGTCAGTGTGTATCTGTATGTCTGTCACTCTGTGTGTATCTGTGTGTATCTGTGTGTATGTCTGTCAGTCTGCGTGTATCTGTATGTCTGTCAGTGTGTATCTGTATGTCTGTATGTCTGTCAGTCTGTGTGTATCTGTGTGTATGTCTGTATGTCTGTCTGTCTGTCTATGTATCAGTATGTCTGTGTGTGTGTCTGTATGCCTGTCTGTCTATGTATCTGTATGTCTGTCAGTGTGTGTGCGTATCTGTATTTTTATATGCGATTTTAAACCTTTACTTGAAAAGTGAGGTGCTAAAAACCTATCTGCAGCCAGATGAAGTTTAGCACATTTTAGTTTTGGCCCCTTCCTGCTGCCAAGTTGTGCAGGTCTGCTTTACACACATTACACCACAAGCAATTGACTCTACGCACAAGTGTAGTAACCAGCAAACGAAGTGCAAACATGTGATTAAATTTGCTTGTGCTGTGTAGAACACATGCAAGATCTCTTTATTAGGACTTTGAGCATGAGATGCCCTGGAGGGACAGCAAACTTACATGTTCACATTGCTGATGGCATGACACACCCCCTCTCTGTCCCCTCCTACTTGAATGTTCTATTTGCGAATGCCCAGGGTGAATTTTTTTCCCCCAGTCCAGTCCTGATAGGGGCAGGTGACTGTATAGGTATCTGGGACCATATAGATAGGAGAGTAACTGAGAACCCTCCCAAACCCTACACGAAACGAAAAACGTGGATCTGCTACATTTTATAATTAATATTAACTTCTCGTTGCTCTTTGTCCTGTTGTTTGTCTTAACATGTATTTTTCTCATAGGCTCCAAGCATATTGAAAGAGGTGTTTCCCTGTTTACTTGCTATTTGTATAAATAGATAGCTTGCCTGCTCTACTATAATCCAGCCATTCTCAATATTAATAAAACACATTGGTCCAATATCTAGCAGACACAAGTCTTTAATTTCCACAACTTTAATTATCTGCAATTTTTAAACAACACTTTCTTGTCTTTTAATTTGTCTGGTGTGGATGAACAGTGACCATAGGTGTTACTAGAAAACACAGGGTGCGAAAATTGCGATGTGTCTCATTCTCCACTTCCCCAGCCCCTCCATGTGTCTGATACCCTCCCCTCAATGTGTCTCATTTCCTCCCCAAGCCCCTCCATGTATTTAATTTCCTCCCAGGTGTTGTATTGCCTCCCAACCCCACATGTGTCTCATTCCGCCAAGTGTCTCATTCCCCCAAGCCCCTCCATGTGTCTATCTGCCCCTTGCAGCCCCCCCATGAGTCTCTCTCCCCACTGCCCTGCAATCCCTCCAAGTGTCTCTCTCCCTCCCCTGCAGCCCCTCCATGTGTCTTTCCCACCCCTGAAGCACCTCCATGTGTCTCTCCCCCCTGCCCGGCAGCCTCTCTGTGTCTCTCTCTCCCCCCTCCATCCAGCCCCTCCATTTGTCTCCACCTCCCCTGCATCCCTTCCATGTGTCTCCCCCTTCCTCTGCATCTCCTACCTGTGTCTCCCCTCCACTGCAGCGCCTCCATGTGTCTCCACCCCTCACCTGCCGCCCTTCCATGTGTCTTACTCCCACCTCTCCTGCAGCCCCTCCATGTGTCTCCCCCCTTGCCGGCAGCCCCTCTATGTGTCTCCCCCTTCCTCTGCAACCCCTCCATGTATCTCTCCCCCTCCCCTGCAGCCCTTCCATGTGTCTCTACCCCTCACCTGCAGCCCTTCCATGTTTCTCTCCTCCACCCTCTCCTGCAGGCCCCCCATGTTTCTCTCTCCCTCCTCCCATGCAGCCCTCCATGTGTCTCTACCCCCCTCCTCCCCTGCAGCCTTTTCATGTGTCTCCCCCCACCTCCACTGCAACCTCTCCATGTGTCTCCCCCCACCTCCACTGCAGCCCCTCCATGTGTCTCCCCCCCACCTCCCTGTAACCCATTCATGTGTCTCCCTCCACCTCCCCAGCCCCTCCATGTGTCTTTCCCCACTACCCCTGCAGCTCCTTCATTTAACTCCCATGCACTCCACCCCTCACCAATGGCCCTTCCATGTGTCCCACCCCACCCCCTCCTGCAGGCCCTCCATGTGTCTCTCTCCCTGCCCCTCCATGTGTCTCTCTCCCTTCTCCTCCACTGGAGCCCCTCCATGTGTCTCCCCCCCCCCACCTTCCCTGCAGCCCCTCCATGTGTCTCTCCCACCTCCTCCAGCCACGCCATGTGTCTCTATCCACCTTTCCCTGCAGCCACTCCATTGGGTGACAGTCCTGGTCGCCACTGGGTCCCCTGCGACTGTGGTAGTTACAGTGTCAATGCACACACAAAGCAGCCATTAGACCAGGGGGTGCTAAAGAGTGATCCCCAGATGTTACCAAACTATATTTTCCAAGATGCTTTGCCAGCCATAACACTGGCAAATCATCACAGAAGATGCAATAAAACACTTAGGGATCTAACTTTGGCCAAGTTAGCACTAGACCCTCTTTTTTCTGGGCCCACCACCCAAGATTCCACATGTCTCCAGAGTAAGTTTAACTTCCAGGTCTTACAATGATGTTACCTGCAGTTAATTTACCATTGTTTCAAACAGTAAATAACTTTATTGATTTATATAAGACACAGAGCCAGTATGTTATTTAGTTAGTTATAAGTAAAAATTGGATCCTGTATAACGGATTTGGTTATGCAACATTGGTGATTGTTGCTCTACACGTGTCCGATGAGTGTAGTGTGGGAAAATGTTCTGTGTTACTTATTAGTAATTTTTTTTTATGAGGGATGAGTGAGAGCAAAGGTAAGTGGAATAATCTTGAAGTAAAAAGTGGTCTAATTACGCACTTATAAAATAGATTAAAATAGTATAAAATATAATTGCAACGTGATTGATGGGGGAATGATTTCTTACCCTGATTAGAGAACAGAATGAGGGGGAGAAAGAAATAGACGAAGGACAATGGAAGTTCCCACGTATAAAAATGCGAAGAAAAAAAGGATTGCGAAATCTACCCTGAGATGTCTCTTAGTAAAAACAAGAAAAAAGAACTTCTCTGTTCTAAGAGCTTATTTGTGAACTTTGTGAGGAATGAAAAGGTGTATTTCAATTTAAATTCACAGGACAAAGGCAATTCACAGCATTGTGACTGTGAATGAATGTGTGCGCCACGTTGAACCACATAAGGAGTTGAAGGAATTACGAAGATACGGCATCTAAAGAACAAAGCAGGTAAAAAAGAAACATAGACTTGAAACGAAATCCCACATGATTATGTGTTATACCAACAAAAATAAAGGCAGGTTTAAACAGGCCTGAGTTGAATAAATAGAGAAGAGTATGTAAATATCAATAATTTAAGTCATTTATTAACTTCTTTGTCCTGAAATGGAAAAAACGCACACACAAAAACTGCCAAAACTTGATTAACCTGATACAATGTATATAATCAGTCTATGTCAGTGAAAAAAAGAGTTCGCTTAGCATGTTACTGAAAGAGTGACGGATATTATTTTCAAAGTAAAAACCAGTATGTATCTCTAAAATGTCATTTTTAAATTACCATGTTCGCGTTAAAAAAGATAAGGACATGTTGTGCCAGGAATATCACAAGAAATGAACCTTGAGCTGAGACATCCTTGGCACATTATACAATAGAAACCCGCAGTGTAGGCAGAGCAATTACCAAATAAACTAGGTAATTAACAGCGTCAGAAGTGAACAGCCAACCTTTATCCAGCACTACACCATGAAATATATTTAGGGGAGCTGTAGTTTCTGTACTTGTATTGTTAGAGCAGTCTGATAAGGCCATTTCTGGGGGTCATCAGTGAGACATTTGGTAGATTAAGGTGATGGGCTATAAATGATCAAATAAAACTGCAAAATGCAATATGTTAGTGATAAAAAAAAAAAAAAAATAGATGAAAAACGGAATCATATGAAATATTCTCCAAATCAGATAAACTAAATAAATATGTTTTGATGCATTTTCTTTATTTTTCTTTCAGGGGAAAAAAAACATATATAAAATTACATATATTATATGATCGCACAGATCATACACTTGGAGTATATGGTAGGTGATGTCATCTATGCATTATTTTCTGTAATGCTTGGTTTTCACCGTGCACTGTCCTAGCCCAAAATTAGTGAAGGATTCGCTGTCAACAGGAGCTGCTATTCATCACCACTTTCATTCCAAGCTCTCCTGGTTTTGATGTTGTGGAAGCGGAAGAGACAGAAAGCACAATTTTATCTCCCTTACTCTTATTCCTGAAAATCACTACTGGCTGTATTAATGATTACAGCTGCAAATTGCCATTGTTCCTGTGGAGTGCATCCTCCACCAATTTCAGAGATGCCGAGACATGTATGTGCTATCCTAACATTAAAGAGACACTAGTTTTAACCGTAATTATAAAGAATCAGGTAACATAAAAGATACATAATCCCATTTTACAGTGCTGCGGAACTTGGCGCTATATAAGTAATAATAACAATGTGAAAATGTGTATTGGGGGAAATAGTGACATCCTGGGATTCTGAATACATTCATAAATTATTCAATCTCCTCTCTCATGGTTATTATGATGTATCAAGAACCCATAATACATAGAAGTAATAGTGTTACTTTCTGTCCCTTTACAATATATATATGTAGATGTTCTAAGAGAACAGACAGATAACAGTTGGAAAAATATATACCAGATGTGCCAGATATGAAAACCCAGGTTCGAACCCCAGTAAGTCCACTTTAGCCAAGACCCGTAATGATATATTTCTACCTACTTCAAAATCCTTATAGAGTGCAGACTTGTTCAAGCAGGGCCTTTTAACCTTTAAATATCCCCTTTCTTTAATTGTAAAGCACTGCAGAATATGTTAGCTGTGTAAAAGTGCTAATAATAATACGTGTTAATGGAAATCAACAGGTTCGAGTTTGGCTGTCATCTGTAATACGTGTGGATAATTTCACATTTAGATAGTTTGAGATCCAAGCTAGACACTGTGCTGATTAAAATATAAACTTCCATGACAACATGCACACCAGCCTAGCATGAAATGGAATATGTGAGAGGCGTTCTCTATTCTGGTAAACAGCAGCAATCCATCTTCAAGGAGTCCCCACAACCTTGTGACAAACAAGCAAAAAAAAACACAAAAATGGTGGACCGCGCTGAGATATAATAGAATATGAATAATAAAATTATAAAAGTTTACATACAAATGGTAGAGGAAGCTTCCGTAAAGTGTATCTTAACAGAAAAAACTGAGAAAAAAGAGAAACATAATGGTGCAATACAGTATAAAAATATGCACACATTATATTAGCAATGCCAATGGAACACTCATACTCTATAGAGCTAATAAAGCTCTATTTCTGTAGACATAGACGGTATAATCCCCGTCTGTGGATTCAATGGTGAGGTCCAGGAGTCTTGGTCTCGACAGTAATATATGCAAAGAAATATAAATAGAGAAACTCCAATAGTGTAGTGCAGTATATACAATGTAAAATATATAGGTAAGTATCCTACTTACAATACCCAGAGCATGAACCTGATCTGGTATATCCAGGCTTGGGTAGAATAATCCCCACCATGCTGGATGTCCTGGGAGTCAAATTAAAAATTCAATTAAATTCCAGGGACTGGATACATTAAATTAAAAAGTACTTTATTTAACAATGATAAAAATGTTAAAAGTAAATTAAAAAAATACCAGTCCAAAGTGGAAATGAACAGTCTTTGGTTCTTGGTAGTGATGTCCCGAACGGTTTGCCGAACGGTTCGCGAATGGTTCCCGCGGACACATCATTGAGTAAACTTTGACCCTGTACCTCACAGTCAGCAGACACATTCCAGCCAATCAGCAGCAGATCCTCCCTCCCAGACCCTCCCACCTTCTGGACAGCTCACTAAGAGTGCAGCTTCACAATGAATGTAAAATTGATGCTGTCCAGGAGGTGGGAGGGCCTGGGAGGGAGGGTCTGCTGCTGATTGGCTGGAATGTGTCTGCTGACTGTGAGGTACAGGGTCAAAGTTTACTCAATGATGAGTCCGTGGCGAACCGTTCGCGAACCGTTCGGCTAACCGTTCAAGACATCACTAGTTCTTGGTACTCACTTAACACGTTTCGCTATGGCTTTATCAAAAGTGAATCACTTTTATTAATCACTAATATAATTTGTACATATTAGTATAGTGTATTACACCAGCCTAACATACCTCAAAGTCATTAAAATATAATGCCACTGGTTCGCCTATGGGGGATGTGCCAGAGTGTGGTGCCTTGCACCACTAAAGACACGCAATGGGGCAAATGAGGTGGGTCCATTCAAAAAAGTCTTATGTCAGTCTGGAGTGAATGTACATCAGGCTTAATGCCAATTGCAGGGCTATCCCCATTAACGTCTGCACACTATGTATTTACTTATCCTCTGTATATAGCAGATATTTATTTATTTGGTATGAAAAGCAAATTAAATGTAGAAATCCATACTACTGAATTTAATTTATATTGGAACTGGGTGTCTTCATCTTGGCTCCCTATCAATCATCATTATAAATGTAGGCCTTTTCGGCCATTGAATATTGTCGAATAGGAGAAAGAGAAACAATGTTTCTATTTTCTTCATTTGTGTTGTGTGCGGTGATTGGACTTAACTTGGTTATGATGTCACTTGCTAAATCGTTAACATTTGATGAAAATGAAACAAGGCTTCACATGAAAACAAGATTAACAGTTGTTATTGTTGATTTTTAATGTTTTATTCAATGGTCTAATTCCCAGCGACGTGAAGGTTCTTTAAATTGCTTTGGCCATGGATTGAATAACCTCAGTGCATCATGGGCATTGCAAGCGAACCTGTGTTTTATGAGGAATTTGTCTCCGGTGTCCCTAGATGTCCCTAGATGTGGGACACCAGAGAGCAAACCCAGAAAACACAACAGGACCTCCAATTCAGGATTTTGATTGCTGAAGCCAGTACTGTAGGTAAGCATGTCAAAACACATACTATATATTAGAAGTTGTGGGATGAAGCTGCATTAATTAAGGAGGGGAGGCTATGCACACTGCTACTCCAGCCTTCCAAAACTGCTGTTTTTAATGCTACTGAAGCAACGTAGCAAAAAAAAAACCAGAGAAGATCAACATTGTGATAAACGTTTCATCTAGAAATTGCTATTAATTTGGCTAGCACAGTGTATAGACTACATCGTGTGCTCTTTAAAGTGATACCAAGTCACGGCAGACATGAGAGGTGTACGTTTAACATATTGTGTAATCATTTACATATATAACATACTATTTACGTCCAAGAGTTACATTTGAAACAAAATAAACATGTGTTGGTACAAAAGAACTCATATCTACACGTGTCAAGATTGAAACATAAATATCACAATGAATAATATATTTTACAAACATAGAAACATAGAATGTGACGGCAGATAAGAACCATTCGGCCCACCTAGTCTGCCCAATTTTCTAAATACTTTCATTAGTCCCTAGCCTTATCTTATAGTTAGGATAGCCTTATGCCTATCCCACGCATGCTTAAACTCCTTTACTGTGTTAACCTCTACCACTTCAGCTGGAAGGCTATTCCATGCATCCACTACCCTCTCACTAAAGTAATACTACCTGATATTATTATTTATTTATTTATTTATTTATTTATGATTATTAGTAATGATTATTAATTATTTTATGACTGATCAATTTGCAGAAAAAATCATTCTACCCTACAAAAAAAAAAAAAAAAAAAAGAAAGAAAGCCTTGGAAGAATTTAATAAAACGTAGTATAATACAGAGGCAAATAATCACCATTTTTTGTTGACGAAAACGATTTTTGCCAAAGGGTTTTTGTAATGTGACTGTAGCCTTATCTGTCACCTTACGGAGTGTATGTTTCATGGAAACAGCATTTGCAGGTAATAGGGAGAAACACAGATGCATTTAAACACCAGCTGTGGAGGTGCACAGTGAGATGTAATATATTATTTTTAGAGCATGATTCATTCACATAATCATGTGGCTTGTTTCTTTCACTACCTCCTTAGCGAGCACTTCCTGAAACTCTGGTTTGGCTAACCGTGGCACTGCAGATGTTTGTGAACTACAAATCCCATGATGCTGGAGATGTTTGTAGTATAGATGATCACAGGAGCTATGTATCAACACAAATCTGCAGTGCAAAGGCTATCTCCTACGTTGCATACAATTAAAGAGTCTTCCCTTGTTTTAAATGAACTAATGGCACTGTAGGATTTAGAATTGAAAAGCAGATACAATAGCAAAGTGACGAGATTAAGGAAGAAGGGTCAGATACCTCCTCCTTGTCTGCAACCCTCTGCACATGGGCTGACTTTGTTGTTGTGCCATGACATTGTTATGGTCTGTGTCTGCTTTCCGGTGGGGGATGGGATTAACAAGCACTGCCATGTGTCACAGTGACAAAGAGCAAAAGACAGGCTTTGCTGCTTATTGTGTTCTCAAGATACTGTGATAAGGAAGTCTGCTGTGCCTATAACTAGTTCAAAGCAATGGTGCATTGTTCACAATCCCAGTACCTATAAAAATTAAATTTTGCATGGCAAATGTGGATCACTGAACAGGCAAATGCAAGGGATTATACTATTGCTTTTTTTTTATATATGCAAATATGTCTTAATATAATGGTTTAAATACTGATTATGACAACGCAAGAGATTATACTATTGTTTTTTTTTTATAATATAATGATTACGTTATATTTTAGGGGCAGATCCAATATTCCAAAGTGATTAAATTGAAAATCCAAGCTTAGGATGACCTCAGTCCTATTTAAAACATTATGGAGATAATTAAAAAAAAATTCAACTAATTGTAATGAAATAAAAACAGAATTGTAAAATATATGAAAAATATGAATTGGTAAAATGTGACTATATATATACATTTTGATTATTTTAGCCTAAATATTGCAATTTCATTTTTGACTCACTTAAATGTGCTTTTTAGTGAATAAACCCATATGTCTTCAAGTCCCTGGGGCCCTGTACTCTGTGTGTGCAGAGGGAATATACAAATCATTACAGCACAAAGTAAGAGAATACATAAAGACAGGAAAGTACCATGCATGCTAATGTATGTATACAAACAGGGTAACTTACTAAAGTGAAAATTCAAGGTGAATTCAGTGAATTTCAAATGTAAGGCCCGAGTAGCCAAATTAAAAGCATTGCTGATTTCGTTTTTTTTCCAGTTCAGCTATTTGACCTTGAATTTGCCATTCTCTTTAAATTCACCTTAAATTCTCACTTTAGTGAGTTACCCTTTAACAATGTGATGTTTGAGTACCATGTTTATATATTGAAAGTATTCATTTTATATACTATAGCTAGTTGCTTAGACAAGCATAATCTAGGCAAGCGTGGAAGTATAATGTTTCCAAGAACATGGAATGACATGGGTTTCTTCCTATCAGCACTTTGCCAAATCAGCACTTTTCACCTACATTTTGCAATTCATTTTATTTTTAATTCTGCACAATTTGATGTTAGAGAATAATTTCCTGACAGGCCTAGTTATTAAACCCTGAGTTGTAGTTCACTGAACCCTGAACATCAGAATTAAGGACAAACCCCCTTGCCCCCCCTGATTTTAAGAAAATTGCCCAACTCAGCTTTGGTCAAACCTTGGCTATTTCAGGTTTAATTTATCAATTTGGATTATAAATTGCTACAATTAGCTATTCGTTTTTTTTTTTTTTTAAATTCAATATTGTTTAGCGATAATAAACCTATCTTAGATTTAAAAAAACTATTCTAGCAACTTACGTTTCCACCCCATGCCTTACCTTTTGTGTCACTATACCCCACGCCCTCTTACATTAAAGCTCATTGAGCAGAGCCCACAACCCCTCTGTTCCTGCGCGTCCATCTCGTCTGGTTACGAATACGTGACTTGTTAGCCCACCTATTGTACAGCGCTACGGAATTTGTTGCCGCTATATAAATAATAACAATGATAATATAATAGGAGCAGATTCGGTGAGATTTTAATTACAATTTTACACAAGCATTTTATTAGAAAAGGTGACTGAGTTTAGAAGTCAAATGTGTTTATTACACATACATACTGACAATTTACACATATCCCTATGAAGGTAAGGACATATAGATAGATGATGGGTAGATAGATAATATATAGATAGATAGATAGATAGCTGATATATAGATAGATAGATAATATAGATAGATAGATAGATAGATAGATAGATAGATAGATAGATAATATATAGATAGATGATAGATAGATAATATATATATATATATAAATATATAAATAGATATATAGATAATATATAGATAGATAGATAATATATATATAGATAGATAGATAATATATATATATATATATATATAAATAGATAGATAATATATATATATATATATATATATATAAATAGATAGATAGATAATATATAGATAGATGATAGATAGATGATAGATAGATAATAGATAGATGATAGATAGATAGATAGATAGATAGATGATAGATAATATATAGATGATATATAGATGATAGATAAATAGATAGATAGATGATAGATAATATATAGATGATATATAGATGATAGATAAATAGATAGATAGATGATAGATAATATATAGATGATAGATAGATGATAGATAGATAGATAGATAGATAGATAGATAGATAATATATAGATGATAGACATATAGATAGTTAGATGATGTATTTAGTTAGATGGTAGATATTCCTGTTATTTTAATGTATATATATTTTATTATGAAGCATAGAATAATAATAATAATAATGCACAGTGAAGTAATAAATCCTTTGTACAGTCAGGCAGCTCAGACAAGCTAATCAGGCCGTGTTTGTATCCGGAAGCGCAGGCTCTGTTTGACTGGCTCCTTGCATCACTTGCCCAGACTTTGTTTACAATGGGGATTGTTTGTCTCACCCTCGGCTCTGATTCGTCCTCGCACATCGTGACGTCAAGCGAGCCCTGTCCTGCCCGCAACACGGGGCTGTCACCGTGGTGCGATCGCCTGATTGGCTGAGCATCCAACGCCACGCCCCCCGGCCGCCATTACCTCTCCAGAGCCATATATAAAGCCGTGCACGACGCTGGCTGTTTTTACTTGTGCCTGTGGAGCGTGTGAGTGCGGTTGGGCCTGTTAGTGAGTGAGTGTGACAGTGAGTGTGAGCCAGGGAGACACTGCAAGGGACGTGTCTTCCCCCCCCTACAAGGAATGTTTTCGAGCAGGCAGCCTTTTGTCATACCCAATCCGTCCTCAGCCCGAACATGTCACAGGCCTTCATGACTTCATAAGATAAATCCTGTATAAATTATAAAAAAAAAAAAAAAAAATTAATCAACTCTGATTAAAACAAAAAAAATCGCAAAATCTCTAGAAAACGAAACAAGGAAACCAAAATAAAAATTTTGAAAAAAAAAAAAAGAAGCAACTTGGAAAAGTAAAGAAGAAAAATAAATAAAAAAAATAAAAAGCCAAATTTCCTCGGAGTTCCATATTGGGGCCCCTGAATCCGGTGACCTGGGAGCCCAGACAGCCTCCATGCATACCCACTATACCCGGATCAACATGAAGCCGGAGATCATCGCAGCCGTGGGCTTTCTCTCCAAATTCCTGAGGACCAAGGGTCTGATGAACGACCAGGAATTGCACACCTTCAGCTTGTCCCTACAGGAGCTGCTGGCAGGTAAGACAGGGCTGAGACAGTCAGCCTTAACTCCCACTCCCAGTGCTCCGAGGCAGACAAGAGACCCAGGATGATGAGATATTAACTGGTGGGTTGCCCTTCTAATCCTTCTAACTAGACTGGCATCTGACACCTTCTTTTTAAAAAAAATTTTTTTTATTGATGGACTCCTACTCCCACTGACCTCAGGCATCAGCATGTGAGGACAATGGGAGTTGAAGTCCTAAAGCTAAAAGTCTGCGGTGTCCCAGTCCTAATTTTTTTGGGCTCAAGGGGATTGATCTCTTTAGTAGCCCTGTAGCTCAAAGTTTCCTTTCTTGGTAACAATATTTAATTATCACTGTTCTATAGCTTTGTTTCAATGTATATTGTGATTTGCAATGTTCTATAGCTTAATGTATTCTATTGTCACTGTAATAATGGCGTTCTGTTATCACTATTCTCTAGCTTGCTTTGTAACAATGTTTTTATTTTATCACTCTTGCTTACTAGCTTTCTAATGTTTTTATTGTCCCCATCAATGTCCCATTGCATGTGGCAGTGGGTGTTAGTAGATGAGTGATCCCTCTTTACCTATTGATTTTAATGTTTATGTATGTATAAAGCTGGCAGTGTATTTTAAGGCTCTGTGATGTGAGTCTTAGATGCTGAACAGCAGCCCCCAAACTACCCTGTCTGTTTTGCTCTTAGACCAGGCTCTTTGTTCACTGTTGTTGTTTTTGTATGGAGATTTACCCACCCCTCGAGTGCCTGTAAGAAATAGTAAATTGTTTTTCCTTCTTGGGCAGACTATGCCGATCACAGCTTTGTTCTTTTCAGCAGACTTGCTTCCTCTTAATCACAAAACGAACCAGGAAATATATTTTAAATCTAATTCATGAGTTCCTGTCACATCACTATAGTAAATACATTTGTAAAAGAAAATCATACATACAATGTAGTTCAGATTAGTCCAACAAATTTTAGTTTTGTATGCGATGTGCTTTTACATCGAACAAAAGTATTGCAAATCAAAGCAGGTTCGTGTTGTAACAGCCAGCTTTTACATGACCTCATTCTTGTGTCTCTGCCTTTTGCTTTGGCTGTTTAGAAATAAATGATAGGCCCACTCCAATAATACCCATTAATCACAAAAGTTGTCCTATTTGCTAAAATGTAGCACTGTTGAAACTATGTTGTATGACCGAATCAGTAAAGCGATCTGTACAATAGGTATTTTTTTCTGTACACAGCAGTCCTTTTGTCCTAATAGAAAAAACAAAGGCTTGGTGAAAGATTAGTAGTAAACACTGCCTCGCTATAGATTAGAGCTCCGTGCGCAGTTCAAGATTGTGGATAGAATCCTGTATTTTTTCCACTTCTTCGTTTGATAAAAGATTAGTAAACCTAATAAGTTAGTCACAATGTTCTTTATTTGTGGTACATTTCATAAAAAGCCCAGAATTGTAGACTAAACGCAGAAAAGTTTGTGTAATTTTTAGAGGCCTTGCTGGTAATATGTGTTGTGGTAGACACTAACAATTTCACTTTGCTTAATAGAGGCTCTTATATGAGCCGAAACCTTGCTGCACATCATCCAAAACATCGGCCTGTACTTTAGACCACTGCCCAGTCTTTTCTATTATTAATTATCTGTGGAGTTTGGTTATCTCCAGACTGGAGGCATGGTCAATACATTTAAATTGTGCCTACCCAACTTCTTGTTTTAACACTTTAAATGTCAGGGAAGTGTTAAGCGTACTGTGTCACAGAACCCTCAAACACGTAGGTTATAATTCAGGTAACAAATGGCAGTTCCACATATTTTCAATGGAAAACTGATATTCAGTTACTAGATTTTTCTTTGTTCTTTAATTTACAAGTCTTAGTCATTTTTTAACGACAAAAGGTTTAAAAAGACAAATTTTACCTTTATTCCAGCATATAGACAGGTGCCTAACTGCAGCCTGACCCTCCTACTGTGAAGTCATCAAGTTTGATGCCTATTGCCCAATCAAATGCTTCTCATAAAGAAGTGCTGTGGACATATGGTGCATGTGCAACATGACTACAATTCACCAGTCCAAGGTTTCTCTATTCGAAACATTGAGTGCAATGGTTCACACCTAGCATCTGGCATCAGCATACTTTGTATAAAATATATTGCAGTATTCAATATATTTTAGTCTGTAGTTCCTGGTGGCTGTGTGAACAACAGCTGCTACAGGCATGCACATTGCAAAATGTAAACAGTGCTGTTTTTCCGAAACAGCACTGTGTTTATCTGCAAGGCTGTAGAGATAGCATCTATGTTCACCAAGGTCATTTTATTAAGATGATGTGATGTTGGTGCTTAGTGTCCCTTTAAGTTTATCTCATGTACCCTAATCTAAAGTGTTAAGACCAATGTCATAAATTCAGATAGTCGTCGCTCCCCCCACCTCCCTCTACTCTCTAGAAAACATACAGAATAGTTTAACTGCACTTAGCAGCTGTCAATATTGTAATTAAATTTTCTTAGCCCCATGTTAATTTGTCACATAATTTCTGCTTGTGCCAAACAATCGATGTAACAATAGAATCTTGGTACTGAGCAAAGTCCTTTAACACTGCTTGTTTTGTATTTTTCTTTTGTTTTTAGATCATTATCGACATCACTGGTTTCCAGAAAAGCCCTCAAGGGGGTCAGCCTACCGCTGTATTCGGATTAATCACAAGATGGATCCTTTGATTGGGCAAGCAGCAGATCGCATTGGGCTGAACAGCCAGCAAATGTTTAAGCTTCTGCCAAGTGAACTCACTTTATGGATTGATCCCTATGAAGTGTCTTATCGAATTGGCGAGGATGGTTCCATATGTGTTCTGTATGAATCTGTACCAGCTGGGGTTAGCAGTCAAAATGGCTGCAGCTCTCTTGTTGACAGCAGGATTAGCTGTAAAGATGAACTTTTACTGGGCCGAACCAGCCCATCCAAAACATACAATATGATGACTGTATCTGGTTAAGATATGGTCGATAGTTGGATCATCTTGTAACAGATGGAAAATATTGTCTTTAATTCGGGAGGGCTCCTATGGGGATGGATTGTGAATTTTAAACAATGTCACAGCTGTGAAGATCGGGCACAAAATAGTGGTAGTACCTATTAAAGTGATAGTGCCGTAGTTTTGACAGTACCTTTCCTTACTTAAATAGTCTGTATTTAGGAGGATTTTATGACAAAACATTTTATAAAGGCTGTTTACAGTCTCAAAGTGTTTGCCATTAGACACATTTAGTGTTTTTATCTGTATTAATCTTTGAATCCAAAGCTCCAATGTTTTTATAAAGTTATTTCACTCTCAGCAGACTGTCCTGCAGAGTACAACTTGCACTAATGAACTCAAATATAATTTTTTTTTCTTTTTTTTTCTGGCAGCTCAGTAGCAAAGTGTGAACAGTTTGAAATATGAAATATACTGGAATTGTAAATGACAGACAACTTGCACTGAAATATGTATAGATGTGTATATATAAAAGATGTGAGAATATTTCAAGTCTGCTAAACATACTTGAGGGTCCTACATATTGTGATATGAACTTGAAAGACCATATATAAATTCTACCATAACCACAGACTTTAAAATTACATGCGAAAGATACTGTCTAAACTACTGCATTCTCACCTGCCAGTTTATCTGTACATTTATTAGCTTGTTAGTTTTCTAAGACGGAGTAAACTTCTTATTTTTAGAAAGTGGAGTTCTGCTTTGTAATTTCTTGTACTTAATTGGGTAAAAGTCTTTTTTTTTTTTTTTTTCTTCCACAAACCATCTATTTTGTGAACTTTGTTAGTCCTCTTTTATTTGATAAATTATGAACTGATGTAAATTTGTACAGTTCATGTATATTGATTGTGGCAAAGATGTACAGATTTCTATATTTTGAATGAGAAAATTTTCTTCTCTATAATAAATTTGTTTCTTATCTCAGCATTTTAAATGAATAGTCTTGTCTGATTATGTAGTATTCTATGTTTGTTTGTTTTTTCTTCTTCTTTGTTTTACCCCCCAGAAGAATTTAAGGTTGCTCTATACTAGAAGGATACATGTGCCCATAAAGTCACAAAATATGGGGACATTCTTTGCAAATCCGGAGATTATGGAGATCACGTACTGGATATAGGCTAGAGTCAAATCAAATATTTTATGATGAACCAATGGTTTATTGTGTTATGGGAATAAAAAACTGCACACAAGGAGAAGGAAAAGATTTCTGCATTACCCACAGTCAATCACAGGAATATTATGAAATGAGGATGTAAAATTAAATAAGCAAGCATGGCCCATTGCCAAATATTACCCCTTTCTGGATTCGTTCTCCTACACTGCAAATGCTATATTGCATTTAAACCTGGATAAAGTTCTACTGCAAAGCTGAATCCCAAAGGAGGACACAGCTTTGCACAAATAGGTTTCTAAACAACCTATTCAGGGCACATTTCACAGTTGGATAGCACTTTGAAAATAGGCTTTCTGAATGTAGTGTTTTGCAAAGGTCTTATTGGATACACAACGGATTGCAGATTTGTTTTCAAAATTTAAATTTATTAGATCAAAGCTGCTTTAAAGTCATCTAAAGGTACGTGGTATATTTATGTGTACATATATATATATACACACACACACACGCACACGTTAAATCTTTAATATAATATATACATACTGCACTTGAGTGTTCTGTGCCTTTCTTCCAAGTAAACTCTAATAACACGCACATCAGTCTACTAACTGCCAGGTAACTAGAAACAGAGTTCACATGATATATACACTACATTTTCTTTTGTTGGGGAGGAGAATTATCAAATTCATATGTATTTTTACACATTGTTAGATTAATCATCTTGTATTTCCATTGATATTTTAAACACAGCCCTTAAAATAAGGTTCTATTGTGAGATTCTCATCTCAGAGAAATAGATAAGGCTTCTAATCGTGTAAAAAAAATAAATTTATTACATGGATAATGAGTACTTCTTATAGCCAAATGAGAATAGTTAGGTGATTACTTGTCTGGTAATTGCAGCTTCAAAATATTTTCTCACAAAGGAGGACATGACTAACTGTACTGGTAAAACAACAATCTGTCACGTGATTCAGGCCTACAAGCAGTCTGCCACATAGATTTCTCAGGAAGTATCTGAAGGGATAACCGTCACTCGTGTGTTTGTGTACTACATACTAAAAGGAACCCTCTTTTTGTTTATAACTATCCTGTGCTCTGCCGCCCAAATTTTTTTTTTTTTTTCCCTCCTATTACACCCTACATTTAAATATCTCATGATTTTTTGCAATTCTACTTTGTTTTCAAACTCTCTTTAGGCAGTGTTGATCTACTCAAATCGCTATTATCGTGTTATTTCCTATTTTTACTGAGACGTAATCCTAAATTTATACTTAAACTTATATTTAGACATCTGGCGTAATCAAATATAAATAAACTCAAAATCTATGGAAAACAAATTCTCCTATTTAACCCCCTATCTGCAATGATAACGAGGCCATTCAACCTATCAATGCTCTTCCTTTGTGTAATTTGTCCTAGAATGAATTCCTAAAAGACAAAATACTAATTAAGATATAAACTTCAAGATCAAATAATTTTGAGGCAAGGGCTGGACATTAAAAATTGTAAGGATGATTTTCCAAAAATTATATTTATTTGTTTAGTTAAATTTCAGTTTTCCCACGTACGTTATCACATACTCCCTGTAACCCCCTTAATAAGAAATATAAAATTACTCTGGATTTAGCAATTTGTTTTCATGCTGTTCTGTCGTAGTCTGTGGGTGTTTGAGTAATGGGAGCTACTGTCTAATTACAGCTGATGATGATTGCCCCTCACTCGGTTGGGGGTAATGGGAATTACTGTGCACTGACCATACCATGCATGATGTATAGAATTTTATAGACAATCCACTACTTGTTCATTTTACGTTGTCATACATTTTATTCTCTTTTATTTATTGATTGATTTTTCTTTAAGGCTAGCTAGACAGATCATTGGTTAGACATCCTCTAATTCTTCCTAAGAATTGCATGTTTTGCTCAGCCTATTATGGGTTGTTATGAGCAGTAATGTTTGTGGCTGTAAACAAGTTGGGTACTTTGTCCTACAGGCCTGGAAAAAAAATTTTGTTCTCAAATCTGGGTTCTGGCGTTCTGACTTTACACATCTGCAATTGTGTAACTATTTCACGTTTTGTTAGACTATCGGTAATCATTTCTTTTTTGTTCTCTTTTTCTCTATCAAATACCTTTTATTTCGATTATTTCTCCGATACATTGTAGACATTTTAAGAGTTTGAGACTATCCCTGCATACTTTATCTGGAATAATCTTGTGTGTGTGTGTGTGTGTGTGTATGTATATATATATATATATATATATATATATATATATATATATATATATATATATATATATATATATATATATACATACACACACACACACACACACACGATAAATGTGTCAAATAAAAGCCATGTAGGATTTCAACAAAAGCAAACCTTGAAATAAAATCTACGGGAACAGCAATTCTGGTTTGAGTCAGTGCAAACAGGCCATATGGAGCCTGTTTTATTGCAACACAACCAGGACAAAGAATGTATTTACATTCCCTGGGATAAATCATTTCTTGATCTTATACAGGGTGTGTGTGTTTTTTTTTTTTTTTTCTTCTGGGTACAGACATCAATCACCTCATTGCTTTTTGTTTTGTTTTTTTATTCCAGTCCTTTTATGGTTCTAAATTAAAAATAGGAATGTTGATCCAGTTTAATTGAAAGTGTCATATGTATAATCCTAATGCATTATATATAACTCTTCTTCCACAAAGGAATTACAGAGTACTTTGAGATATCTAGCAAATACACGTTTCTGCTATTACAATTCCTGCTTAACTTGAACTTTATATATATTTAATTTATGGGTGGAGCGCCACAACTCATGACTTGTATTAAGTATGCAAATAAAGTGCGGAATACCCTCTCCATTGCGAAATTTCAAGTTATTTGGCTTAAACAGTTGCATATTTTTGGGGGGCATATTAATATATCTTTATATTATAGTGAACTTCAGCTTTAATCTCATCCAGATTATTTTGTTCATTTTACCCTAATGGGACGCTCCAGACCCCTAAAGCATTTAAGCTTGCTGAAAAGCTTTGTGTAAAGAGTGAGTCCTTTTTTTCATTTTGGAAATAGTGCAGATTTTAATTAGAATTGACTCTTTTATAAATTAACCTGGTTATACCCCCTGGCTTTTCAAGAAGACAGCAGGTCCTGTTACTTCCTGGTTTGGTTAGCTTTTTTTGGACTGAACTCAAGATGCAGCAATTGCCTAGTGCAGCTGCCTTGCAAAGACTACTCATTGAGCTGCATTGTGAGTCTGTGATTGAACAGCCACAAAGAGTCTGGCCTGGGTTAGAAGGGGAGGGCTTGCAAATGCAGCAAACAAGGGATCTGCAGTTTTTGCAAGCTGTTTTTAGATATACCTCCAATGGAAAAACGCATAATTAAATTAATGCTAATTTTAATTTAAGATATATCTACTAAACAGTGATTTTTTTTTTTAAATGTATTTTTTATTTGGGCAGTGTCCCTTTAAGTTAAAACGTTTTCTCCAATATATCACAGTATATCACAAATATTTACCATTTGTCTCAAGGTACTTATGTGGCTGGGGAAGGATTTTGAAAAATTCAGTTTGGTATGACTGGGTAGTGGAGAACATATAGAATTTGATAATTATGAAGTGCTTTATTTACACAACTGGGAATTGTGGTGAACTGACTATGACAATTTTAGGCCAAAACGTTTCTGGTTCATTTGAATAGATTTAATTAATTATTAGGAGTTTTACATACTAAACCGGGAATTGAGGTGAACTGACATTGCAAATATTAGGCCAACATGTTTCTAGTTCATGTGTTTTGGCTTAAAAAGTCCAGTTCTCTTGTTATTTCTCAACTATTCTTATTTTAGATTTTAAACTCAAACTCAAGGCTGCATCACATATATTTGGACTTACTGAAAAATAAATAAGCAACTAAAATTATACTTCCATCCTTTTGGATGCATTGTTTCTTATAGTGTTTCTTCCTAAAATACTTATGAGAATGCCAGCACTATTGCTAACCAATGTTAAGTCTTTTATCCTTGTTTAACGTGTCATCTCCCTATCTCAGGCTGGAAGCACTCCATAATTCTTGCATGGTTTTATATCACGTGTAGGAAATAGACTCGTGTACAAATTCTTTTCAGCTCATATGAGCGAATCAAATTCTGGTTAGTCTACACATGAACAAATCAATCTGTCTTATTCATATTAAGACGCCACAGACAAATCCTGGCTAAAAATAATTTGTTGACAAGTCTAGAAGAAGAGAAGGGAACATATTTCAACGTTCCTTGTTTCCTTTATTGTATTTGGGTGCCCAAGCCCTCTTTCATGAAAAAAAGGAGGTCCAAGACATATTGAGCCATAGGGACCTTGTCATTAACTATAGACAATAGACAGGAGGGGTTTGTGAATACATTTTGTGGAGATTGGTCCAAACATGGCAAAAATAAATATGCTTTAATGCTTCAAGTCCTCTGATGTCTGCAGATTGAAAGGAACTGGCCTAATGGCCTGTGTCAAAGATGATATAGGATTGTATTAATCCTACCGAGCATGCATTTAAGATGAAATGGGTACCACTGATGCTAAAGTGGGTCACACGCTTGGGGTTAGACTACTTGGGAGCTAAACTGGGCTTGATAGAGCGTATCTGATATAAATTGTCTTAATTATGAAAGGTCTTTAGGTGCCATGCAGTTAAGGGTAGGCCAGTACAAGTGTGGATAGAAATGGTCAAGTAGGGCAAAGTGTACAAGTGGGTGGTTCAAGTAGAAGGGCAAGTTGATGGTATCATTCTGCAAATATGTTCTTAGTCTAGGCGATAAATGATATGTAGGGAATACATAATAATTACATAGGCTAAAAGAAAGACTTGCGTCCATCAAGTCCAGCCTTTCTCACATTAATTTTGCTGTTGATCCAGTTTAAAGCATTTTCCAATTTTGCAAACTAGGTAAACAATTCCTCTCAACACTAGGTCAGCCAGATCTTTCCTTGGGGGAAGAAGCTATTCCTCACATAAAAAAAACTGATGTCTCTGAATATTGTCTTTGTAAGTATTTATCCAGTTGCGGATTAAACATCTATACCGACTCTAATAAAACCACCTCTTCAGTCAGAGAATTCCATCATTATTGTTCTTGCTGTAAAAGATCCTTTCCTTCGCCTTAAACTAAATCTCTTTTCTTACAGTGTAGATGGATGACTTCATGTCCTATGTATAGTTCTATTTAAAAAAAGATTTACAGGCAACGGTTTGTATCAGCCCTGAATATATTTGTATAATGCTATCATAACCCCTCTGAAGGGCTGTTTTCTAAACCACACTGTTTTAACCACTTAAAGACAGAGGCAATTGTACATTTTTTTTTTTTACTATTTTCTGCATTATTTCAACGTTTGGTGGACTGCCTGGCAACTCAGGCTGTTCCCCTGCAGGCAGTTCAGCATACTGCCATTCTGGCCATATAATCATGATCAAATGCCCCAGGAGGGCAGCTCTGTCTGCAGGGGGACTGCCTGGGTTGTGCTACTTGAAAGGTTAAAGGAAAACTACCACCTCCATAACAGTAAACTGTTTTCCAATAATTTAACCCTGAAATTGGTCTTCTCGCACCCAAAAGCTCTACCTTCCCTCTTCCTAACTTCTAGATGCCAACCACTATAAGAAGGTTTGCTTGGTTTCAGCTGAGACAATGGCTACCTATTGAAAATAATAGTACTTGCTGTTATTCTCATTGAGTGCTCAGTAACCACTAACCATCAGGCAAACCTTGTGTGACTTGTGGCTAGGAGAAAGCAAGAAAAGAGGCAGAACTGTGGGGAACCAGGGTGATCAACATCAAAGTTAAATGGTTTAAGCAGTGGTGTAACTACCACCCACAGCTGCAGAGGTCACCATTACGACTAGGCTCATCACTCCAGGGGATCAGCCACCCGGTCAAGCCCTGTGACCGTTAAACCTGCATTACTTCTGGGTCGGTGAACGTCCGCAATGGCCAGCGGTGCGCACTGGCATGGTTACTGGCAGCAGGGGAGCGCACAGTACAGTGCTCCTCCTGTTGACAGTCACTGCATGAAACAGAAGAACTTTCACCAACGGTATGCTTGACCACAGAGGTCAGCAGGCACAGGAGGAAGATGGGGTGGGGATGAGACACAAAGGGGGATGGGACATATGGAGGGGCTGGGAAGAATGAGACACATGGAGGAGCTGAGGAGGATGAGACACTTGGAGGAGCTGGAGGGTGGAATGAGACACATGGAAGAGCTGGGGTGAATGAAATCCATGGAGAAGCTGGGGTCAAGAATGAGACACATGGAGGAACTGGAGGTGGATGAGACGCATGGAGGGGCTGGGACGATAAGTCACATAGCGGGGCTGTGAGGATGAGATGCATGGAGGAGCTGGGGAGTGGAATGAGACACATGGATGGGCTAGTGGAGGCAAAATGAGACACATGGGAGTACCCCAGTCAATTTTTGCGGGGCATGGTGTATTCTAGTTACGCTTCTGGGTTTAAAGGTTAGTAAATATATACATTTTGTACATGTTTGTTTTCATAATATTTTCAACGTAAATGATAAATAGTATCAACATTGAGGAACACTCTTATCAGTAAACTTAATAGTAAATAATTGTCCTCTGAATAATAAAGACATTTGGCATTTTGGCTTCTGTTAATGTAATTATTGTAGCAAACTGCTTTCACTGTTGCATGTTCCTACATAACCAACGTATTCACAAAGATAAACATGTTTTCCCCTCTTTCCCAGATCATATAATCTATTTCCCCATATCTTCTGACTGTGACGGTTAGATGATGAGTCCCATATATCTAATTTGGAGCTCATGTTATCTAGAAATATCCGGTCTGCTCTAGTATTGCAAAATATGCGAGCATCACATAGCTGAAGGCTTAGTTCACTGATCTTTTTTGCAGCTACTTACATTTTAATACATAACACAGCTGTGCTGTACAATATAAAAAATATAAAATGCATCCGTTTAATGAGATTATTCAGAAGAAAAGGTGAATATGATAAACGGTGTTTGTTTGCTGTCTTTTATCCGTGACAGCATTATTATTTTCCATAAGAGGATATGTTTGCGATTTTTTTTCGAAGGCAGCTTTGTGATCAGTAAAAGCTTTTGGGAATAAAGTGACAATATGCAACAGAATAAATTCATGCTCGGAATTAATATTTTACATCGTGCCCTTCAAATGACAAGTAAGGTTTTACGGCAGTATTCAGAATGATATTGTAATAATGAAAGAGGAAAAACAAGAATTTTCTCCTTAGTAATAAAATTCCCCTAGAAAGGCAACAATGTTAACAAT